TAGTCGATCGCCGGGTTGATGCTGTGTCCGACATCCATCTTGATATCAGTGCGCAGCACTGTCCAGTCGCCTGTCAGCGTGTCTATTTGTACCTCCGATACTGCTACTCCTTGTGTGAAGTAGTAAAACATTTTGCCAGTGTTCTCGCCCCATTTGTATCCGATCTCTGGTGTTCGGTAGTGGCCATTGGCAGAGAGGTTGACACGGTCCATGTATGCGGCGTTGACGATGTCTTTGAATGGAGCGCCGGGTGATTTCTCGCGATAGGGGCGGAGTCGCGCATTGATGGCGTCGCAGGCGTTCTGAATCGCAAATCCATTGAGGTCAGATGCTGCTGACGCCGCAGTAGGCGATGTATTTGCAACTGTGGCGGTCGACGTTTCTGAGATATGAACATCTGTCACCGGGACCTGCAGTGCCTCGGCAGCGATCATCGTCATCTTCGTATTGAGCCCCTGACCCATTTCTACGCCGCCGTGGGCTACTAGGACACTGCCGTCGCGATAGCAGTGAACCAATGCGCCAGCCTGATTCAGGAACACTGCGGTGAAGGATATACCGAACTTGGTTGGGACAACTGCAAGACCTCGCTTTGTCCACTTATGCTCCGCATTGTATGTGTCGATTTCCTTGCGCCGCTTGTCAACGTCAGCCTCCTGCATGAGTTGGTCGAACATCAGCGGTACATGCCAGTCTCCTATCAGCTGATTGAAGTGAGTTGTCTGTCCAGCTTCAACGTCATACATGTTCATGCGCTTGAACGTCTCGACAGGTATGCCGACTTGCTCAGCGATCTCCGTCATAAGACTCTCAGCGATGAAGAGACCCTGAGGGCCACCGAACCCGCGGAATGCCGTGTTGGAGACAGTATTCGTGCGGCACAGGCGTCCGCGCACGAAGACGTTTGGAAAGTAGTAACAGTTGTCGATGTGAGATAGGGCTCGTTCCAATACGGCTCTGGAAAGATCTTGAGTATGGCCGGAATTGGCAAAGACGTCCGCGTCCAGCGCCAATAACCGACCATCAGCAGAGACAGCTACCTTCCAGTCGCCTCTAAATGGGTGCCTCTGGCCTGACGTGAGAATGTCCTCGTCCCGGTTCAGCATAGCTCGTACAGGCCGCTTCGTCTTTTTGGCTGCAACTGCGCATATTGCGCCTAGCTGAGTGGCTCGCGATTCTTTGCCGCCGAAACCCCCACCTAGACGCTTGGTTCGTGCGATGATCTTGTTTTCGGCGACACCAGTGACCTGTGCGACGAATGCTTGGGTCTCCGTCGGATTCTGTGTGCTCGAGAAGATCTCCATCTCGCCATCCTCAGGCTTTGGAGTAACGACTGTTGCTTGCGTTTCAAGGTAGAAGTGCTCCTGACCACCGATGCGTGTGCTGCCAGTGAACACATGATCTGCCCGAGCGAATGCACCCCCAGTGTCGCCTTTTCTGATGTACGGCTCGATGCCTGTGAAGAAGGCCCGTTGCTGGACAGCCTCTTCAATGGTCAGAATCGGCGTCCCAGCCTCTTGCTCAATCTTCACGGCCCGCATGCCAAGCTCGGCAGCGTGTGCAGACGTTGCAAGGACCATGCCAATAGGTTGACCAGCAGCTGTTATCTCGTCAACGACGAAAAATGGCTCGTCATGGACCGGGCCTCCCCAATAGTTGGCCTCCGGACTGACGACATCCTCATGAGTGACAAAATCCACAACACCTGGGATTCCGAGGGCGGGCTGAAAGTCGACCGACAGCAGCTTGCCTTTAGGAATCGTTGTGAGCACCAGACAGCCGTATAGCTCATTCTTTTGAGGCGGTATGTCATCGACATACTGTGCCTCTCCTGTCGCCTGCTTCAGGGCTGCAACGTGCGGAATTGCTTTGCCGAGAACGCGCTGCTCATATGCAATGCTTGATTCGTTGTCTCTGCTGCCCTGAGAGACCGCCCGCTGCAAGGTCTGTACAGCCTCGGCGTCCACTTCAGCAGCGCTGCTAGCGGGCATGTGAGACAACACATCGTGGTAGAACCGATAGAAAAAGCTCAATGCCAGCGTCCTGCGATAAGACGCCATGCCTCCTGGCACACAAGAAGGTAGATCGAAGTCCTGTTCAAGAGCCGATATAGCCGATTCTAGCGTCTCGAAGTCCGCCCACTTTCGGCCAACCAGGGTTCGTTCTGTCGTTCCAGCAGGCACAGTGGTCGACGCCATGCCGCCGTAAATGAGGCTGGCATCTTCAACAACTAAGTCATCTGACAGTCGCACGCGCAACGCGCAGGTGACGATGGCAATGTCGTCGTCTTTGCGTTTGGATTGCTTGTAGGCTCGGATGAACTCGCCTCTGGCAGCACATATCGGGACTCTGACCTTGTCAATAATGGCATCGTCCGGAAGCGCTGTCTTCCGATAGCCACGGAAGAAGTTGGTCAACGGGTACTCAGCTACCTCAGACAGAGATTTGCTGACGACGACGCTGTTGGTCGCCATCAGCACTGGGTTGAGGTCTGAAATTGGAGATGCTGTCGCAATATTTCCAGCCGGGGAAGCGACATTACGAATCTGGCGGCCGGCGAAATAGAGCAGCTGTTGCTTGACGGCTGCAAATGGCTGCCCACGTTCTGGGCCATAGCGAGCAAGGGCTTCGTCACATACATGCTCAAGATTCGTGAGCGATATATTTGCCCCGAACTCAACATGATCATCGCAGAGCCGGTATTGCTTCAACTCAGCGATGTCGCCGACGTAGACGGACACGTCATAGAGCATGCCCTTGAACTTCACTTCGATCTGCGTCTCCGAGCTGCCTCCAATAATCTTAGCGCGAGGCAGAGCAGCCTTGATGCTCAGCAATTCCTGCACTGTTGTAGGGCGATACCATCGCTTCCTCTTATTGCCAAACGCCAATGCTTTGTACTGATGCTTGTGTAGAGCCGGTGGGAAGATTAATTCCGTCGTTGCATCGTGCTGATTGGATTTGGACGTTGAAGGATGTTGGGCATCGCGCGAACGTTGATCAGAATGCTGCGAGGACCTGCTGCGACAGCATTCAGCAGCAGTAGGCGCAGACCCTCTGCAACACCCAGCGTCAACACGACCCTTGACCTTATCGCAGGAGAAGCTCTGGGCTGCATCGAGGATTGGCCGGTAACCAGTACAGCGGCACAAATTGCCGTCGAATGCTTCTTCAATGGCTTGCTCCGTTGGCGCCTTATCATTGCGCAGTAGAGCGTAGAGGCTCATGACAATGCCCGGGGTGCAAAAGCCGCATTGACTGCCATTGCTGCCAGCCAAGCGTTCTTGGATGGGGTGGGGCTTCTGCGCATTGCCAATGCCCTCGACGGTAATAAGATGCTTGCCGTCCACGCAGACAAGCGGAGCAAGACAGGCGTTGACAGAGGCATGATGGACCCTCCTGGTGGTCAGGTCTAGTTGCGAGAGTACCTGTGATTGTTCGTCAGCGCTCTGCAACGATTGCTGGCGCCTCGCACGTTGAGCCTGAGAGTAACCCACAACTGTACACGCTCCGCAGCCGCCCTCGGCACATCCCAACTTCGTGCCTGTCAGGCCAATGCCCCGAAGGTATTCCAAGATGGTGAGTGCAGGGTCGACGTCCTCGAGAACGACTCGAGTGCCATTGAGATAGAACCGCAGGGTGTCGTCCCAAGACCTTGTGAGTGCAGACAGAGCCTCGTTCGTAGTCACCGCCGTTGCCGCCATCATTACCATGACCGTGATGATGACCAACAACGCTGCCTCCGTCTTCAAGTTGCTCGAGGAGGTCGGAAGGGCCGCTCAGTATCGCATCCACCAGTCGGCGCAATAGGCAAATACGCCTGGTGTGGCGAGTCTGAAGCAAGTGCTGCCATCACTCGACCCCTCCGCCAGAGGTTCTGAATGCTACTGAGGCTGCAACTCGCACGGCGGAAGGCTCGAGACCCCATCGCCGCGTGCACGCGGATGCGGATGGGCAGTCCGGCCGGCTGCAGCCATGCTGTATCGATAAGCATATTGATGTCGGCTTGGCTGATGTGCATGGCATCAAACAAGGCCGGTGCAACCTGCTTGATAAGTCGCCCATCGGCCTGCATGTCACCCTATCAGAGAGGAGCAAGTCTGCGCTGTCGGAGGAGCGTACCCACTCGTCACGATCGGCCTTGCAGCTCACCAGTGATGCCTATGGCAGTGGAGGACCAGCGATAAAGCGTGCCACCTACAGCGCGCAATGGCTTCAACCGGGCCTCTTTTGCACTGGCAACCAGTCTCAAGAGACGCGCGCCTCTGTAAGGTCTAGAGCGTGAGCAGGAGAGCAGCGTGAAGGCTGATACTACTGCTGTTCGACCAGTGAGCAGGCTGTGAGGGAGGGCCCGCCATGAATGCCATCAATGGCGAGGACCCGTGGCCCAATTGGCAAGGCGCTTGACTACGAATCAAGAGATTCTGGGTTCGAATCCCAGCGGGTTCAGCGGTTCTGGTTCATCCCCTCATATGGACCTTTTTTGCCGGACATATCATCTCTCAGGCCTGGTTCGGTGTGTGCTAGTGTTGGTCTGGTTAACCCCTGACCCACGCTCGCCCTCCGCGCCCCCCTGACCTCGAGAGCTAAACAGCCGGCATAGAGCAGACACCACCGAGCCTTCAGCATATTCGCCCGTGATCTGTCGATTCGTACCCACAGTGTGCGGGCGCAAGTAGGAAGGAGGACAGTTCTGGTTTCGTTTTTCGCGTGTCAATAGACTGCCACAAGTCTGTATCTATATAGCTCCATGGAATGTATACAAGATGGTGTGGTGCGTGGATCAGCGATCAGCGGTGAATCACAAAGTCGGCCACTTTGACGTCCACCGGATCTAACGTCCTCTCTTTCTCCTGAGCGAACGCATGTGACAAGGGACTGATGCTGCTGCTGTGATGTTCGATGCCCTGACCGGCTCGATAGTCAGCTTCCGCGAAGCACTGCCTCGTTGGCAGCGGTGAGGACGCTGCAACGACCTCGCCCGGAATTGGCTGACGAGAGTATAACGGTGCAGCCTGAGCAGGAGGCGTCTGCTGCACGAGAGCCCTGATCGACGCCGGGTCGATCGGCGTCGCGCTGTGTAGTGGAACATCAAAGAGACCATCGTCATCGGGTCGCGTGTCACGCTTCTCGCCGCCCTCGCCGTGCGGCTTCTCGCGTCGAGCGGAGATGCAGCAGACCCGGGCCAACCCCATCATCACCAGCACGAGCCAGATCCCGCACACTGCTGCTGAGATGATGGCCTCGGTGAGCACAGCTCGTCTGAAAGCGCTCACGACACGAACAATGGCACTCGAGACAGCGTCGGCTGTGGAGTCACCAGGATGCGCAAGGAAGGCGTCCATATGTGGGTCGTGCCCGGCGGACTTCTGCAATGCCAGGGAGAAGGTGTCGTTCGGCACGTGGGGGAAGTCGATGTGCGCATGCTCAGAGACCCAGGTCAAGCCCTTCTGGACGGCTTCGACCTTCATGCCGATGATACAATCAAAGACGGTCTTGAGAGGCTCTTCCAACAACGTGCCGCCAAAGGTAGAGTTCAGAGTGCCCATCGTGTGATCCATGAACGTGTTGAGCGTAGTGTTGACGCCTTGCGTGGTGGTGTTTACCCAGCCAAACACATGTCGGTTGATATCGTCATTTGTGTGAGTTATGATCGCGTTGGTGCCATTAGCCCACATCACTGATGCATTCTGCACGGATTGAACCACCTTGTCCGAGAACTCAGACATTTCGCCCGTCAGCTGCGGCACGACTCGTTCGATGACTCGCAGCAGGATGTACTGGCAGAGACATGAGAGCAGTCCCGCAACGCCGAGGCAGAGGACGAACAGCGCGGCAGGAGACGTAACATAGGCAACCAACCATCGGACGAGCGGACCTCTGTTGCTGGCATGCCCGTCAAAGTATCGTGCTAGCTTCAGTCCGACTCGAGCGGTGTGAGGTCGCGACACCTGGTACACGACATCCATGGGATCATCCTTCTCCTGGCATTGATGCACGATGGCAGCCTGCCGTCGCATCAACCGCCACGATCGAAGTTCGCGGTATGCCATCGGCAGGCAAGCGAGCACAGCCGCGATGACGAGCACCAGAATGAGAACCATCTTCGCCCATTTCAGAGTCGCAGCAACGTGGCTGAAGAAATCGTCAATGCCATTGTCGTTGGTACAGAACGAGATGCTTTTCCGGTCAGGCACAGGGAAGGTTGATGCATTGAAGCGATAAGCTGGCAACTCCTTGCTGATGAGCCCGCGCACCTCATCGAACGGCTTCCTGATAGCACTGTTGGTGAAGTTGCGCACGTCCTGAAATGTCGGCAGGGAGGCATTGAGCTTCTCGAGAGGTTCCAGCATGCCAGGCGGCAGGCGAACCTCGCTCAGCTTGTTCTGCAGCTTTGACGTGTCGATGCTGAACCCGTCGTGGTCTCCTGAGCCCGAGAAGAAGTCGTGCGCATGCTCGCCGATCTTGTTGATAGCGTGTCCGCCTGCAGTGATGAACTCCCCCACTTCGCTACCGAGCTTGCCAACAGTCTTGTTGAGAAAATCCGTGGCCTCCTCCAGGACGTGTACTGCGGCATGCATGCTACCTCTGACTGCAAATGTGATGAGGCACATGTACATGCCCGTAACCATGTTCACATACCAGACCGTCATCTCCTCCACGGCCATGATGATCAGGTCCAGCGTCTGCAGCAGCGCATGCACCGACCTCTCGAGCCCCATTGCGGTCAGCTCGTTCAATCCTCCTGCCATGTAGTGCGGCATGGATGCCACAGCGCTGGCCGTGGTCTCAACACCGCGACACGCCGAGAGTGCCTCTCGCTCAGCCGACGCGATGCTGGCATCGAGCGAGCCTGCTGACAACAGTAGCCTTGCAAGGACAAGTAGAATGAGGATGGTCCAGCGATTGAGCCATGTCTGGGAGAGACGCGACTTGAACCCGAGGTAGGGAGTGGTAGTATCCGGCCTCACTGTTGTCGTCGCCACGGCGGCTGCGGCTGCGGGCGGCTCGCGCAGAGTGTAGCGAGGCGGCGCCGACGACGACGACGACGAGGAGGAGGAGGAGGACGGCATCCACGACGGCATTGCCTCTGCTGGGGTTGCCCAGACGGCTGGAAATGCTGCCCTGCCGCTGCCGATCGATCTAGCGAAGACACAACTCGCCAATATCGCAGGCTAATCTAAACCGTTCGGTGCGTAGGACGACGGGCTTGCAAATGGCGCGACTGATGCCAAGGGTGCCAGATGCGACATGACTTCCTGACTGCCGTGGTCCTTTGGTGGGACGCCTGTCGTAGAAAAGGCACCAGGGCCATATCATGCATCTCACTGCCATGCCGATCCGTGACATAGTAGTGCATGCCGTTGAGGTGAGGCGTGGTCGCCATTGAGGTCTGCTGCCCCAGCACTTTGAGGAGTGACAAAGGAACATCACTGGCACCCGCATTGACAGGACAGTGTGAGTGGCGCACGGTGAATGTCGTCCTTTGAACGGCCTCAGCAGCCGCAGGCGATTGCCGAGCAGTAGTAGTCGCAATTGCTGTCTGGGTGCCGGTCGAGGCAAACAACAGTAAGACTCATCGATCGGACAGCCGGTGCGCGCGTCAGAGCAATGCGCTAGCACCGTCGTCCCCAACCATCGCTCATGCAGGTTCACGGGGCAGATGCTGGTGTTGACGCTGGATGTGTTCGTCGCGCTGGCAGGCGTGGAAGCACGACGCAGGCCCGTGCCCTGGCGCTCAGCACTCACGCTGCTATGAAGCCAGCGGCAGCTAGCTGTAGCGGTTCAATCATGCCAGTCCGGGTGCAGCGGCTGAGGCGCCGTGCAACTGCATGCGGTCGCCAACACCGTCCATGCGGCTTGAGCAACGGCCCAACGGCCGCGTGAGGTCGATACGCCTGCTTGGTCGCGGACGCATTGGGCTCGATGGCATGGGCATTCGCCATCGGAGAAAGCATCGTTCGCGCGTATATCGACGTCGCCAGCGAGGCCAATATGCCTGGACAGACGGCCTCTGTGACAGAGCGCGCACTTGACGCGAGACATCACCGCTGCTGACAAGGTTGTGAGACAGCCATCTCTGAAAAGGCCGAGTCTTCCAGGTGGCGACGTCCCGGTGCTAAGGTGCTGGTGACCGTTAAGCGGACATAGGACGACGTCGACTGCGTCAAGAGCTGGAGCGCCGCAGCTCGGCTCATCTTGGAGCCGTCGATGCTCCGAAGGTAACGAGGCACCGTGTCTCGTCTCACGAGGCATACTCCAGTCCGGACCAAGGCCGGCTTGATGGAGTTCCTCAGAGTTCGGCCGCAGTAGCCGAGCATGCGATGGTCTGAGCCGTCGCCACGCGCTGCATCGCGTGGTGCAGAGGGGCTTGAGGCGTCTACAGACGCCGAGCTTAATCCGCGGCTAGTCTGCGGAACAGCTCGTCAGTCATCCAGCTCTCTCCTGGCTGCTCGGGTCTCGTGTCGTTAGGCCTCCTTCACTATTGTCGCTGCATTGAAACCCGCCCAGACAATCGGGTTGACCGTCTGATGCGCAGTTCCAGGAGCAGGCCCGGCCATCATGCCTGGCTCGTCAACCATTTGGCGTCTCGTGTGCCTGAGTGCATGGGGCGGGGGTCCGCTCGCAAGTCGGAGCTGAAGCGGCTTGTGAACCGCTATGAGGACCCGCACGCGCTCTTTAGCAGCTATAGATCTTGGGCTCAGCACGCGGTAGCGGTACCACGCACTCCAGATCCTAATTCTTGGGGCTCCTCCGGCGGCTCAGGCCGCTACTTCGAATGGTGACAACCATGCGATGATCCAACCCTTAACCTGCGCCATGACTAGCGATGGATTGACCGTCGCAACCGGCCTGTTGCTCGCGCGATCAAGACATGGCTAGCATGGCGACAGGCCTGCTGGGTGCAGCATCGACAGACCCGCTGCCTGGCTGACGCCTGGCTGACGCCTGCCCCTTCATGCGCTACTGAAACTGGCGAGTAGGAACCCCTCCGGAAATGGTGGGGATGGCCGCTCGGCTCCAACCACCTAGCACAGGGCTGTGCACGTTACTCAGCCTGCCAAGCTGCTGACGGGTCTCTCATGCATCGTCTTGCCTAGCCCGCCAGCGGACATCCCCGCTGATGTGCCTACTCCTGAACATCAAGTTCAATTCGCTTTCCGCACCACCGGTACAACGTCGGAGGCGGTTTGCACCAGCAATCGCCTGACCTCGAGTTGGGCACGCTCCATTGCGTCAGTGGGACGCCGTCGCCTCAACAGCCTGCACGAGACTGCATCCCTGCTGATTGCTACTAGCACGAGCTGCAAGAGCTCGTGTAGTCTGCGTGGCAGTACGTGCCAGCCTTCAAGCGTCGACATCCCCGGCGCACTACTGGTGCAAGGGCCTGGGCAGCTGAAGTGGAGTTACAGCGCGTTGAAGAGCATATGATACACTAGAGGACTTGC